GGTAAACAAATATTCAAAATAATCCAACTCAAAATTTTAAAAACTGTGAAAGCTTCGAACTTTTCGAATTCAAATCCCCACCATTTTGGAAAGTGGCGAATTTCTCCAATTCGAACCTCCATATGGTCGAAAATATCGAAACCTTTCGAATTTGAACGTCAGTTCGGTTTGAAAATATTGAAACCTTTCGAATTCGAACCTAGGGTGGTTTGCGGCATCCCTAATACCAACCAGTTTTCTTTTTCACACTTGCAATTCATTCATAACACCACATTACAAACATTCAATTAGACTCAGGATATATGGCAGACTCCAGGAACCACTGCACACAGAAAAGGAGAAGTTTTTTAGTGCGAAATAACCCTTGCAATCAATAAGAAATGGCCCAATCATGGGATGCTACACTTTACCATATCTTCTACCCGAGAAAAGTTATTCTAACTCTGGTTGCAGATTCAAAATCAGCATTAAGAAATATACCTACACGCTGAATTTGAACGAGTTATGCAAATAAATGAAATTAAAGCTCGTCAAACCATTCAGGACAGGTATAGCTTGTCTGCCTTCCAAGGTTCACGCAAGGGTGTAAGATACGCAGGAAACGACCACTGAAACCTGCCGCAGTGGTACCATTACATTGCATCCTCCTTGCCGCTTTTGCTCGGCGGGTACCTCCGCCTTACAACAGATGGCGCGGCGGCATACGGAAGGCGATGGACTCGGGTTTGTGTGCAACTCAGCGAGGGAATGCATTCTGTTCTTTAATCTGATGTTATTAATCACAATTATTTATGAACACTTTTCTTAGCTACGATGCATGTTCCAAACTGTGTAAGCGCCTGGCAATATGAAGCAAACGAATTTGGCGGTAGCTGATGAAATTGCCATTTCTCGTTGTGCTTTGAAGCCTGGGCACGGCCAAGATTCTTGAGGCACGAGCCGCTGGTGTTTTGTTCCGAATTGTCGGTCGGGTTACGGCCCAAAGAAAGAAGCAGCAATATTTACTGCGGGCCCTGTTGAGTTCGGGTGACTCCGGCCGTGCTGGGCACAGTGCGACCGCAGTGCAGTGCAACGACATACTGCTGGCTTCAAATCACGTCGAGCTAAAACTTACCTTGCTTGTGCGTAAACAGCATAAACTTAAAAGCTAGATCGCCAAATGGATCCGTTGGCGGATTGGAATCGATGCCGTCGAGGCATTCACGACACGACTCGGCTGACTTTTTAGCTTGTCTTCCGTTTTGTTGTGCTGCGCGCCCCCTCACCTCGTAATGTAAAACTACGGGCAAAGCAGAACCTGTCTATTGATTATATCACTAGTATGCTCGATTACACTTTCGTTATTCATGCACAGTTTGAAATAAATTGCAGATCGGTCGCGTCCCCCGATATATTTTGTTTTTTTATTCGTCTTTGCGTGGCACCATCTATGTGGAGTGCTCAGACCTTCCTGAAGCGGGGACACAATCAAGTCGCCCAATCGGCTCTCGTTTTCCCACCTGCCCATCTTACAACCCTGTTTTACGCATTCAAGCAATTCCGTTTTGGACAAGCCAGGCTCGCTCGTGACTTAGTTTGTGTCACTGTCAACAGATGGCAGCACCGACTTTCTTAAGAGTTTGCTGCCCTTCCGTTTGTCGGTACAAATTTCATTTTTAAAGTAACAAAATCGATTTTGAAGAAAATGATTAAGCAGCTGACTATCAGAAATTCCAAAAAACTTTCAGCCTTTCCACTCTCATGAAGAAGAAAGATCAGCGGAGCTGTACTCGATACACTGTGTGTTTCTTCTTCATCGTCGTCTGTTTTTTGCGCTGTTTCCTGTGATGAATTCCCACCAACACACCCAACTATCAATTCTTCTATGATAGCTGGAAAGGTTGCTGCCATCTACAAGTGACGGCGGAAACCATACTGGTTGTGTTCTTGCCGCCGTCGCTTATAGATGGCGGTAGCTGTCCTGGTAGGTTTGTGTCGACATACACGGACACAATCCTGGGGAACCTAGCCCTTAACAGCTCCGCTGTAAAAACAAAAAATGATTAAAAGGTTGAAGGGGAGCTCCAGCATCAATTTTAACATTTTCAACCAAACAATTTCCGAAAGAGCACAAAACATTAAGCCTAAAAGAGCAAACAAATTTCCCCAATACGTCTTAAACCGTTTTAATCGTAGAAATATGACAAAACCGAAACTTGCGACTTAACAGATCCGCCATCCTGTGGTGACCCCAGATGTTGACTAAACGTCGGCACGTGGGAGCTTCTCTGAGTCGAGCAATAACCAGCAAATACTTTAAAATTTCCAGCACGGGATTTCGGACGATCCGCTGGGATCGTCCGAAATGCGAAACAGCGGCTGCATTCAAGATCCGACCACGTGTGGACCCAGGTGTTATTTGCTAGCACAGTGCAAACTGCTTTCTTCAGCCCGACGCAAATGCTGAGAGCCGGCGTTCACGTCGGACTGCATCGGTGAGCACCTGTGTCGCAGAAACTTCTTGTTTGAAAATGAATAAGATGTCACTCTGTGCATTTCTTCGTATGGTATTACTGCGCTCCGCGACACCAATCCCGCACCCTCTATCACGCACCACAAATAGCCTTAACCAGACAGAATCTGCAAAACCACAGACGGTCACCATCACTACAACACTGCGACGAGGGAGCGCCTGCTCTCGGACACAACGTTTGACGTCACGAGCGATCCCAGCGCCGCCGCTGTTCATTGTTGCCAGTAGAGCCGGTGATTCGGTGGTACTATACGCGTAAACTTGAAAATTGATTATTTAGAAAGGAAATTAATATTTTGATGAGATATTTTGTAGACATACTCATGGGCGGATATTGAGTGCATGGTGAAACTTTTATAAAAATTGTAGTAATCAATACTTCGAAGGAGCTCCTCTTTAAAAAGTGTAATAATATAACCAAGGCTTTTTAAGACGTGTTAGAAGCTTTGGTAAGTTCTCATAAAGATTTTTCACTAATATTTTATTAACAAAGTGTCCATCACTAGACGGGCCAGACTTGTTTGGCTATGCATACTTTGAAAGAGGCATGTCAGGTAGTTTTAAAATAACGTCAGCAGACATTTTGAATGTGGCATTCTGGAAAATTATGTCATTTCCTTGATTATCGAGAGCTTGAGACTTTACATCTCATGCTAGCCATTTACACGCACCAGAACAACCTCTTCTGCCGGCCACAATGTGTTGATATGGCGTCTACAGCAGTTGAGTAAAGCTGTAAGCCCAAGCAGACAGCCCCAAAAGAAGGTTATCCTACGCTTGTTCAGCAGAATATTTTAGAGAGGGGTGAGCCATTGCTCGTAGCTTCCAAAGAACCTCAAGTGTCGCACTAACCCATAGGCTGTGTGCATGACATTAAGGCCCTTGAAGACAATGACCACAAGGGCTGGGTGGCAAACATGATGACTCATTGTTGCTCAGTTTGTTTACTGAAGAGTCACTAACGCTGTTTCAAAAATAATAATTTTTTTTAATTATCAAAATATAAAATTTCGAAGTTCAAGAGTACAAATACAATTTGTGTTTGTATTTTGAAAATAATGATACAAAAAAGCTACAGGAAACTAGTGGAAGAGTCTGCGAGGCTGCGTTACACTACAACAAGACTAAAATGCATGGTGCTCCTGAGCTACAGCCTCTCGACTCTTGATTTCAAAGGAGTAAACAGTGAACATGCAGACAGTAAATAAAAAATTTGAGCTGAAAAGCCCCAAGTGATAGCGCAACGGACAAATTACGGCAAATCGTTTAGCAGCAGAGGTCTCTATCTGTGTGCAAGAAAGACTACCACAGCGTCTGGATCATGCCATAGCTTGTCAGGACTACTGACGGACAACCGTATACTCTCGACTTTAAAATGCGTCGCTCGCAAACAGCAGCGCACGTCTAACTTCCTGCGGAGCTTGCGAAAAACCAACTACTTCGGCATTTGAAAGGAGCCTGGTAAACAATAGTGTCAAAGCCAAATTAACTGCACAAATTTTTTAAATAGACAGTAAGAAATTACTAAGTAACAATTTATCTGTTTGCTGCAGACTGGCAATTTGGCAGCGAAATATGACTGCTATACACTGTCGCCTGGTACCGCTCCCAGCTTGTGAGTATGGGTGGAAGCACGATCGTATGGCAAGAGACAGACGCATGGCCGGTCCAAAGAGCTGGCAACTTCCATTGAACCGTTCGTTTAGGGAGATTGGAGTGGAAGCTCGGGTCTTTTGGCGCGCGACTACACGAACGAGGGCTGACTGTTACGACGTGCCTCCACCTTGAGACTGGCAGGTGTAGAAAATTAAATAGATAACGTCGAAACTCGCAGTGCAGGCCACTGCTCATTGTCTGGTCGAGCTGCAATACGCCAGCACCACAGTTGGCCGACAGACTTCTTCAACAAAGCTTAAAAAAGGTTCCTTCCAGAAACCGTCATTGGCATGCGAAGTGCCGCACTTAGTGTTGCGGCGCAACCACCTTTGTCGCCCAGAAGCATCAATATCCCTTCATCAATCGCCAGGCTCTTTTCATGAAACACGATGATTGGCTCTTCGTATGCGCCGCAAGAAAGTACCCAAGCAGCACGGATTTTGGCGAAGCATTGGCCAATGGCTGGCGACAGTCTTTTGGCCAATGGCCATTCATTGGCCAATGCTTGGTCGATGGCTGATGGCCGATGAGCATTCGCCAGAGAAAGGCCAGTCATTGGCCAATGGCTGGCCACTGGCCAAAGGAACATTGCCAGCCATTGGCCAGACAAGGGCCAGTCATTGGCCAATACCCAAAGGACCATTGGCCAATGACTGGCCAAGTCTGTGCTGCTTGGGTAGGCGTGCGTGGGCCTCGCCCCTAGGACATTTCGTCCAGGGACAGTCCAGGATCGTCAAAATACGGCAGGACCGAAGGTCGTCGTGCCCGAAGCACACACAGGGAACGGGAGAGGAACGCCACACAACGAGCAACAACAGAGGGGTTTTCCAACCTGTGCTTGAAAAGGACTGCAGTGACTGTTGCTGGTTCAGCCCATTCATCCCATTCTGGGGGACGTGAGGGGAGAGGGGAGCTATGCTGGTGTCCACTGAAAAATAGAGGGACACAGGACAGCTCCAGCAGGCTCATGTGCACACAGGGGTCACACGGTGCAGACGACAGGCACACAACAGGCAGATGCCCCCCACACCAAGGCCAGAGCGACCAGTCGGTCCTGACGTCCTTCCGCTGCCGAGATTTTCTTCCCAGCAGCGAAAAAAAAAAACGCACCTGGGCCGAATGAAACCGGCCTCAGCTTTCCCATCGCCGATTTCGGAGCGGTCGTTTTAACGCCCGAGCCGAAAGCGACGTGCTATTGCGCTTTCGTTCGCCTGGTAACTTGTCGCCTACGCTCTTTCGTGAGTCAAATCTTTCGGGGTGATAATACTCCTCTTCGATGTCTTGTACCACGTCGATCGTCGGCATAAAGCCAAAGTCGCAAGCTCATCAATTGCGACATTTCACTTGTCTATGCTGCCTCGCACACTGCAAGAAGGGAATCTCACTCCAGTTTGATAGCCACCACCACTGACCCTAACCCGCTCTGAAATGCCATCACTGACCATTCTTGGAGTGATCCACAATCCGCTTGATCGATCATTCGTTTTACTGCCTATTTTTCTATGCATCTGTTCCTCGCCTCTTCGGTGCCTTCGGGACATCTGGGTACAATCCATAAAATAAAACTAAATAAATAAAATCTCCCGAGATTTCGGTGCCTCCTCGTGGATCTCCTGAGCCTCCGAAGAGCATGGAGTTTCAGAAGTTGAACGGACCGAGTTGGTGATGCCTCGTCGATCCTGCTATTACAAGCATAAAGCAAACATCAATATCAAAAAAAAAAAAAATTGCCATCAAAAAGAAAAGACGGTAACTACTATCTTTTTACATTCCCAAGATATCATCTTTAGACAGCATTCATTCTACTCTCTAGCTGGGATCCATATTTACGACAGGCCTGCAATATTCCCGTGCCCCCAACGTGTTGCGGGACTAGTCTGGAGAAGATCCACGTTCATGGTGACTAGAGCCATGTGACATTTCAAGAATCACAAAAAAGATTGACTAGAGCAGATATTTTCATTTCTACGCAACTTAGTAACATTAGAAACCTTTTGATTTTTTGTTTACTATATAGCTCAACTATCCCACCTGTCACTAGGTACAGTCCGGGGTTTGCACTAATTAGAGCGAAGCACATGCTTAACATAATCTAGTCAATACAAATTTCCTACCTTTCCCACTATGTGTGGATGTCTTTATCCCTGACAAAGGCACCTTGCTGCTTTCGATATTCATCCGCTCCAGCATAGCCCTGCCTAGAACTGCGTCCCAGTTGATGCCTAAAATGGACTTTGTTAACATGGAAAAAAAATGCATTCCCTACAATCAACAGTTACAACTGTACTCGAGGCTTTTGCCAAGAGGCTCGGGAGTAAAACGGATTACAAAGCCGAAGCTCCCCAACCTCGTCGTCGCATTGCGCAAACTTTTTGAGCTTGTCGCCGCCAGAAAAAGACAGAACCCAAACAGAGCCTACGCCGAACGGTCGAGGTTAGGTTTCCTGTTCTCGACGCTATGCAGGCGTGCGTTATGCCGCGAGGCGCAAATGCGAGCGGAGAGCATGCCTTCTTCTTCTGCTCGTTTCGATCCGAGAGGACGAAAGGAGAGTATAGGACGCTAGCCCTCGTTCGATTCGCTGCTTAGCGAGCACCCCCCGATCGCCCCGGTCCTACCTCAAAAGAGAGGTAGGCATTGCCCTCGATCGCGCCTGCTCGGCGATAGAGGCGCACATCCCGCAATACCTGGACAACGAAAGCCGTAATGCTCGACTTTCTACGTCGCCCGCCGGAGGCCAAAGTGGGGCATGGGTCGCATAAAAATGCCGAGTCGGCGTTTGGCGGGGCTCCCACTCCCGTTGACCAGTCACGAGTCCCACTGATCCATGGAGGTAGGAAACTTCTGAAGGCAACATAAGGCCACCAGACGTGAAGCCAGAAGTATGGAGGAACACGCCCCCAACGATGACCAAAACCAGAAGACGCCATTGGACGAAAAGGACAGCCGACTCGGAGCCAGCATCTGTTTTAGGACTTAATGGGACTCGTGTCTGATCGATTGGTGACGAAGAAATTCCCCTGTAATGGCCTCTTTACCCAGAGGTCGTTGCATTGTGTAAGATTAGAGCGAGGGAGAAAGGAAGCCGGATGTGGAAGCTCCCATTGGCTCTCTGGGATCCTCTGGACTGGGCTGTTAGTGGACGATAGATCCGGCTAGAGCCGGCGCGACGCCACGCAGCTGGCTGCCAAAGCTGCCCTAGTGCTTTGTAGAGGCTAATGCCGTTCGGCATTTCACTGAACGAACGTCAATCAGAGTCCCGAGAAGGCGTCAAAGGAGTGGCAGACCGCGAAGCCCAGTCGCCTCACGGCAGAGTTGTCTGCACTCGTGAACCGCACAAACCTGGGGTCAAACTTTTTATTGAGGTAATCCCACCGACGATGAAACGAGAGCGTAATCTCTGTGCATTCCTCAATAAATAGACCTCAACAGGGACTCGGGAGATTGAGAAAATATAAACGTACATCCTTTAATCATCCTTGCTCTCGACTTTCGCGGGCAGGCAACACTACAATGAAGTAACCTTCGAAGGCATTTCCTAGGGCCGCAGGGGAGAGGCCAGTCCCACCAGAGGCAATGGGCACACGCATCGCAGCATAAGACAAAAAGCGAGCTGCAGTGCTATGACAAACGAAACGCTTACTGATTTTACCGAGAAGTAGGCTAGAACGGAGGCCTGCACAACATGCTGGCACAGGGCACATGGAGGATTATTCATTGCAAATCGAAGCAAGGAACCCAGATAGCTTGATCAGAAAACGCAAGAATCCAGAAACAAGTAAAAGAGCAAAGAGGAGCATACAGGACAATACAAAAGACAGAGTCAAGAATGGGAGCATGAAACATCATACTCAGAGCCTCAATGACGGCCTTGGTTGTAGGTTGCATTATCTCTGCTTCATTATTCCTAGCTTCTATGGACTGCAATAATTGATCCTCTAAGCGTGCGGCATAAAGAATGCAGAAAGGTTCTTTTTTCTACCGGCAAGTTATACATTGAAGCAAGTACAGTAATGAATGTAATGTACTCTGATCGAGTCTTTTCTCTCTGGAAGTGCCTGCCATCAGACTAATTTGATAAAATTTGCGGCACATTTAAGCTGCTCAGAAAAACATTGAAGAACCAAAAAGGCAAAATACAGTTAGTGTGCAGGTGAGCTGCTGGAAGCTCACCTGGGTTGTGATAATAACCTGAGACTGGGGCAAAGCAAAAATTTTATGCCAGTAGGAAACAGAAATAGGGACAGACAATGTGCCAAACTCATCTAATGCATCGAAAGTCCAGCTGCAGTTTTTCATATATTAAATGTTTCCAATTGAAAGAGCACTCAATGTGTTTTCTATACTTTCTAACCAATCTAACTAACTAAATCAACGCATGCACGGAGTAAGTTCGAACTTTCACCGAATCTGCATCGAGGCAGCCATTTTTTACTTTGTGACATATCAAGGCATCATTCTCTCCTTGTAAAAATCAATACCAACAAACTTGCCGAAGTCAACGACGGACCTGTCTGCAGATGACCGAGTTAGCGATTAATGCATCTTGCGGTGCCATGCCCCAATAGGCGAGTGAGCAGACGACGCGCTCCGTTGTCTGCTTGCTGCAAGTATCGGAAGATACTTGTACGTAGCTAACTTGGTCGTCTACGAGCACATCCACCGTCGACTTCAACAAGTTTGTTGGTCTCATTTTTTTAACGGGGAGAGAACTATGCCGTGAAATTTAAAGAGATAAAAATGACACCCTTAATGCACATTTGCTGAGAGTTTAAGTCTTCTATGTCCAAGCGCCGATTTTTCCGGCTCATTTTACAGCGCAAGATCCACTGTGCATATCCAATAGATGAAAACAGTGCTCCCTTAGACCACGCAGATGCCAGCTGTTTATGGAGTCGCGGAGATTCCACCGACTACCCAAAATATTCTGTCCTTTTCCAAACAAATTTATACGACCGAGCAAAACAACCTCTCCGTAAAAAAGCGGATGTTCCCCCATTTTGCTTACCACGCCACGGGCAGCCTACACTCGACGTCGACTGTTTCGTGCGACATCGTCGAAACTAGCATAGTTTCCGCAGTACTTTGACGGTGTCAAAACCACATGAACGAGCACGTGCAAACGACGTGCAAGGGGAAGGGCTCTCGCAGCAATGTAGGGCTGCAGCAAACATGAAAGCCACGCCAGCCTCGACAGCGGAGCACGGAACAGTTGACGTCGAGTGTGGATTCCATCACCACTCTGCTTCGACAGACACAGAATCTCGTAGGCTGCCCTGTTTCTCAAGAAAAGCATCACACGAAATCACAGGGCCATTATCGTGCAGGAGCAAAACACAGAAGAGTGCAATAAAAAGTTACAGGGCACAACAACGAGGGACCTGGAGACGTGGGAAAAGACGTACCTGAGGAGGTGGGCGGGGCTTCACGAGAACTAAACGAATCTATGCTTGCCGAGCTCGTTGGTGCTTGGACTGCCAAGAGAAAGTGGGGAGGGGGCAGTCCTTAAGCACGGCGACACACCCCAACGGGCCGCTGCGTCCGGGGCAGTCGCCGGACCCGCGCGAGCCAACAAGCAACGAGACAGCCTAAACACAACTCCTCGCTGTCGGTGTCAGACTCAATTATCTTTATTCCATCACCGCAACGATAAAAGACGCTTCCGTGGTTCCAACAATGTGTTGTTCTTAATTTAGGAGTGTTCAGTTTTCCTTTGCTTGGATCGGTTCTTAACTAGCTATTGTAGATCTTTTGATTTATGTTGGAGGTTTCAGCTGCAACTAACATGTTGCTAATTGTGACACTGCTTTTTTTTTTTTTCTTTTTTTATTCCATACCTTGAGTGCTCGTTTAAACTGAAGTGACAACTGTGAACCTAAGTAGCCCTCAATTTCCTAAATGTCCAGGACAACGCATGTTGACCAGCAGCTGTGGGGAGTCCAGATAACGAAACACTTCCCAAGAAGGGGAGGGTACAACATAGAGAAGAGTCAGACAAAGCAACAGAACACAGCACCGACAAAGGCAACAGAAACAACTTTAGGGAAACACCACACAAGCCTCAACAGTCTTTGTAACATAGCTTGCTTTCATGTACAAATGCACACATAAATTCAAGCTTACTTCCTTAATAATCACTCTCCTGAGAGGCCAATAAACAAAAGTCCAATAATATGAAGCATCCGTTTGTCATCGGTTAATATCGTAGAGTTTGATGTGGTTCATTCACGCCGCAAAATACGGAAGCCCAAAGGGATTAGGCAAAACTGTTTCACTTTACCGGAAGTCAAGAAGGCCCCACTTAAAGCCCTATAGAAAAGCAAGCAGACGTCTTGCGCAAAGTACCACTTATTCGGAACAGTGAGCTCGCAGGATCTCTATTAAGGCGCTTTTACCGTGCAGCCAGTAATTTGAGCTGGAGGACACCTAACGGAAGATTTCTAGTCGATTGCTTCTCGCAAAAGCCGATTTGGAGGGGGGCAAAACAGTGAGCAAATATCACATATCCTCGAATGCACGTCCAACGACCCGCGCCGCCCGTGACAGGGTCTGCTTTACTGCGCAAGGCCTTGTCACAAGCGCTAAGGCTGTCGCCGCCTCCTCCGTCTCCGCCCAAAAACGTACCGCACCACCGCGATTGTGGATGTGGCACGGCGGCAAAGGTGGGTACGGCAGACCTCCGTTCTTTTGTAGCTTGCTCTCCGGCTTGACAGTCCAGAAAAGCTTCCTTCGCCTAAAGTTGGAACGTCGCAACAACAGTCGCAAGTGCCCTCTTTTTTTTTTTTCTTCTAGGGGCCTTTAGGGTGACCACCTTCCTGCTAGCGAAATGCGGGACATGCGAGGCAGGGGGAGGGGGGGGGGAATAAATTACATTTTAAACACGCAAACACTGACCCGAGGCTCTGAACACACCCGTATTATCCTGTACTGTTTATACACCTGCTAATTTTATTGAAGCAATTAAGCTAAAATAGTTTCCATTCCCGATGATATATTTTTGAATGCCAAAGATGTTATTAAAAGTATCAAAGTTGAAAACATAAAAATCGACTGTAGCAGAACTCAACGCATAAAATGGAAATAAGAAACAATAAATCTGTTTTCGGGTTATTGTTTTCTTTCAACACTTACTTTTATTAACATGGTCCTACACAAAATTTTAACATTATGTTCTTTTTCCACTATTGCAAATAATGCTGTCTTCAATAAAAAAAAAAATTCAACGCAACCTTTTCGCATTGACACAGCAATTTGAAAATAATTACAATATTTTATATTTAAACTTTGGGTGAGCAATGTTTCTTACAATATTTTGCGCACACACACGCGCACAACGGCGCATGCGCGTCGGGGCTACTGCAAAAACGACGGTCGCTTCCCGCAATGCTTGGATAGAAAATGGCATACCATTTCCATTCAAACGATTATCAGCAACCTCTGCGCTTCCCCGTGCCCCGTTGTTCGGCAGCACCATGAGTTGCGGAATGAATTTTGCGACGGTGTGAAATGCGGGACATTTTGAAGATTCTAGAATTTCTCGCGGGACGCGGGACACGAGCCCTCAATGCGGGACAGTCTCGCAAGTCGCAAACCGGGTGGTCACCCTAGGGACCTTTAATGATTCGCCCAAAGGATCACAATCGTACGACAGCACGACACACCCGCGCACGCGACGTAATCCGTAGCCACTTTGGGGACGTTTTCGACAGCCGATTTCAAGAGGCCTAAGCTCCCCGGTTTAAGCCGCGTTCTAGGTGCGAGACTAAAACATTGTCGTTACCGTGCCCAGAGCGCGTCTTCGACCGGCGCAGCGGCGGTTTACCGCTCTGTCCCACCCGAGCGTCGAAAGCGGTCACTAAGTGGCAACAAATTAGGCTGCAAGAGCCGGCGCGTTTTGCTGTCGGAAGTTGAAATCCCAGCAGCGATCGCTCGCGGAAGTTTGGGCAAAGAGTATGAGAGATTGCGGGGGGAGGGCCGCCGTCATTACGGCGTCCCAACTCCCAGCTAAATGAATTGGAGCGTGCCGCTGAGTCGAGGGGCAAAAGAAGAGCGACGTGAAGGCTGAGGACGGGACGAAACGGTCTCGCCTTCGTCCTCCGCGTCGCTTCCTTTTTGTCCCCGTAACTCGCAGAGGTGGGAAGCTTCCGGAGGCGATGCAACGGCACCGGAGGCAAAACTGAATGCGTGGCGGGCCCCAAGGGTGACCAAAACGGCCGTACGCACAGAGTCGGCTCTTTTTTTCGACAGCGTTTATCGGCTTTGTTCGTCGTCGGGGCAGCGTTCCTCCAAGCTTCTGGCTTCGCCCCTGGCGGCATCGTGTCACTTTCAGAAACTTCCTACCTCCATGCCGTAGTATTCCCGTAACTCCCGGGGTTCCCTTCCGCCGGCCGGGATCAGGGGGGCCGAGGGTGGAAACCGAAAGGACGCCCTCGGAGAGGCACTCACTCATGGGCTGGTTGTCGAGGACCGCCCCAAAGAACCCCGCCTGGGACTGCACCAAGGACACGTTCACCGGGCCGGATGGGGACGGGGCGACGGCGCCCTGCAGCGCGGGCGACTGCGGAGCCGGGGCCTGCTGAAGCTGAGGCTGGCCGGCCGGCTGCTGCTGGGCCGGCTGGACGGGGGGTGGCGGCTGCTGCTGCGTGGGCGGCTGACTCGACTGACTGGCCAGGCTGCCGTTGGGAGACGTGGGGCCTGCGCACGGTCCCGCGGGGTCAACCTCGGTGGGTCGGTTCGTCCTCGTCCCGGCCAAAATATTATGTCAAAGTGAAGCCGTATACTCAATAACACCAATAACACCAGCTTTTAGTCAAGGAACACTGGCACAGCATCCTTGCGACGTCACCTCACGCTGGAGCTGCGATCGATTGGTACCGCATACGGTAACACCATGGCGACGTCAGATCGCGGCCGTACGGCCGATGATCAGTATTGCCACCCCTCTAGCAGATAGTTTCGGTTTTCCTGGAGATCCCTGAAACAAACCTTTATGCCGTGATATTTATGAAACTATGCATAATATCGAGAAAAAAAAAATTATACCTTGTAACTCGGGGACACTGCTTTAACTAAAGACATTTGTAATCGACAAACACTTGCACGTGCACTCTATGACATCAAGTGCGCGTGCAATTGTACTGGATCTTTATACAACCACGATCGCAACCGCTTTGCGAACGCGGATCCACTTCCAGTGTGAATGAGCGGTAAAAGTGCGGTGCAGCAAACTCAGCGCCAAAAGTATCTGCAGCTCGGATTTTTTAATGCGAAAGCATTAACTGGGCCTTAGAGAGCGAGCCGACGTCATCAGCTTTGAAACCGCGCCAAATGGCACTTTAAATCTTTTCTCCAAGTGAAGCCAGCCCCAGCTATGAAAAAATGCAAAAAGCCTAGCCAAACGGCAGCTAGTTCCTCGATTTCAAAGGAGCAGAGTAAAGCTGATGGATTTCAGCTTCGGTCCCATTAGCTGGCGCGCATCAACAAGGCTCTCATTGGCCACTGCATGTCAGTTTCAACGACCGCCACCCCATGGCGCTGCGTGAGCGGCAGCACGCTGATAACACGAAACATCCAAGTTCACAGCGGCGAGGAAAGGGCGCGCTCCGCCGTCAACGCAAATACGCTCCAGATGAAATAAGAGAGCGGAAGAATGACGTGCATGCTTCCACATTCCCAACTCATAGCAAGTACTTAGGTGTATCTCGAGCATTCTTTATTGTTTATCTTGGCACAAGCAGGAGAAAGCGCGCCACCTTCTCCTGAAATACTGCAATTCCATCACGCAATCACGAAGAAAAATATGCATTTGCCAGTCTGCAGCTGCGGGTGGCAGTTGTAGGAACCAGTGCTTAGGCAGAGAGTTTTCAAATTCTAGGGAGGAGGCTGGGGTCCAACGTGCCACACTTCTCCTCCTCCCCCCCCCCCCCACACCCCCAAGTACAGGATGTCCATGAAAGAGTTTAGTGTTTTTATGATGGCAAAGATAAACTATGCATTGCCGAATGATCAGTCTCCATTGGAGTATACCTACGGCGACCTAAATCAGAGGACAAAGTATAAGGACAAATCCTTATCCAGTCCAAATAATATGAGCAATTTTTGCTCATACCATTTTTTATTATAATTATATAATTTTCTATGGGAAACTGGTGGCTGCTCCTTCAAGGCCGGTACAGCATTTATGTTTGAGTGTGTGACAATGTCATAAATAGGGTTCTCTGGCCCTAAATAAATCCAAAAAAAACTAAAAAAAAAAATGGTTGTTTGATTTGGGTGGGGGAGCGGGCCTTGCTAAATGGCGCAAGCTACCAGAACGGGCCTCAATTTCCCATTGAAAGATTCAGAAAATAACGTAACTTTTCAATACGATAATGGCTTGTTCTTAAAACTTTGGCACCCGGTCCGGACTGCTAGCGCAACATCTGGGCAGAGCATTCGGCGATGCATAGTTTACGTTTTGCGGTGAGAAAAAATAAGACACGCTGCAAACACGTGGATGATTTCGTTATAATTCCTGTTTTTCCATCACCAGCCTAAGGCGGCATTGTGCATCCGCTGCACGGATGGCAACTTAAAGGGGCCCTGCAATCATATTTAAGCGTCTACCTTTTTTGCAGTTTCCACTTCTGTTGGGGTTTGGGCAAGCCAGCGGGCACGGAGAGAGTAACTAAATATCAGTGCATCATATTTTAACCGGACGATGCAAAAACCTCCTCCCCCTACGGGGGCGACCCGCAGTGCTGGAAGTGTGCGATATGTGACGTCTGTGGTCTTGGGCTTACTACTGGTCAGAGCCGCTAAAAGCTTCTTTTTAGTCAAAATGCAAAATAAATGTAGCGCAAACAGTTTCTATTAATTATGAAAGTAGTTTTTGTTCAGCATTTTTGAAAACTAACTGAAAAGCAACGTCATTACTTTTTAAAAGTAGCCGTAACTGTAACGAGTTACTCTTTTGTTGCGGTAACTGTAACAATAACTTCCCTACTTTTTTCTGAAAGTAACCTTAACTGTAACGAATTACTTTTTAAAAGTAACTTACCCAAGACTGTTTATAGTAGATATATTTTATGTGCCGAAATGCACCAAAGTGCTGCTAAGTTTGTTTTCCATACGGAAAACTGAACTTTTGAACTTCGAATTGCTCTGTAAAATTTTGTTCAAGCGGAACGGCACAAGAAATAGTGTTCTCTGTAGTGAGAATTTTTATGCATTGACTCCTATGAACCGTTGACGGGGAACCGGAAAATATTTGTTGAACCGGAAAGGTCCTTGAAGGAGCATTTTACTGTACTTGGAAAACATATTTTTGCCTTAAGAAATTAAAATGGGGTAGGGGATGTGGTTACGAGAAATGAAACAGCTCCATGGACAGTTCAGCGGCAGTTCTATTTAGGGTAAACATCAAATGAAACAGTAAACACAAAATTTGCATCCCACATAGCTTTGGCTTTTTTTTTATTCAAGGAGAGCTCCAGTTCGGGCTTTTCGGTTTTTACAGATTTTATTAAGATCGTAAACGGAACATGCGATCACCAATTTGTCACATTCTCCAGGCCAAATTAAAAGGCTTCCACGGAATATAACTGCGTGTCGAATTATGTATGCGGACAGCAGTGCTTGACGCTAAGCTACGCATGATTTAACCGCAACAAAGCATAACAACTCAAGAAGGCCAAACCCATCATCTATGCCAAGAGAAAACTGCTTAGTGCCAGAAACATGAAACAAGGGTATCCATTTGAACCTATTTCCACAGTGCAATGAAGTACCTCCCAAATCAGCGAACCCCAGCTGGCACCTTGCATCAGCTTTATTAGACGAATGCGAGAAAAATTTTAAAATATTTTTTGACATTTAGGTGCATTGCGGCAGCAGTTGGAACTTCTACAAAGAGCGGGCCAGATTGCCATGCAGCATGGAGGTTGCAGAAGGAAGAAGGCAAAAAACCACCAGTTCAGCCAAACACCGAAGGCAGGCGAAAATTGGAACTGGGAAAAACTCAGTAGTACTTTGTTCTCTCGACAGTACACACATAGTCAAATGCCCTCCTCAAAAAAAAAAAGGCTAACGAAAAATCGGCAGACAGACTGGACACTGCACACTCTTAGGTAAGCTTTGGGTCTAGTTGTCGTAATTCCCCCGAAAATCTGCCGACATTGGCAACTGAGGAAATCAGACTCCCGGAGTCGACGCCGGCACACAAAATACCAAGACCTGCACGTTGTTGGTCGACTACCCCTGCTATGAAGGGTCTTGGATAATTTAAGGGCTCCATATTGATTAGCGTAAGAAATGCTCCTTCGGTACCCTTTCGAGAACTGGCTCCTGCACTTCAAAAGCAGGACGGTCTGTCAGTGGACACCATAAAGAATGTATTGTTTGTGGTGAGAAAATTTGGTGCTAACTTTCCAAATCGAAAGCAAATGTGACAACCTGGTCATGCTAATTAAATTCATGTAGCCATAAGGAGTACTTTGGCCAATTCACAAAATAGTTAGCCCGCAATTTCCCCTTACTTGTGTCTTCCATGCTGTGGCAAATGCCTGTGTTGCTGAAATCTTGGAGCAAGTTTGTAATGCAGTTTACTTGCTAAATTGAACGCTTCGCGAGTCGCCGAGCACGTCAAGGTTTCGAGGGTACAATTGCAGAAGGGGGCGGATCTAAGGGTGGGGTCGGCCGCCTCCTCTAAGCTTCCCAAGGGCGACTTTTTTTATCAAGAAGTGACATACCCTAGCATTTTCAAAAAAGAAATGTTTAAAATTTGGTGGAATGGCAATTATTCGGACAACCAAATAGATCTGAGCAATGCATTGCTCAGGGAAAGACTCACCAATAGGCAGAGTAGGCAGCTGGGTAGGGCGGCAGAATTTTGGGAACAGCCAATTTGCAGCGAACCCCAAATAAACTGGCTTTTTTTCTTTTCTTTTTTTTTTTGTTTAATCTAGCTTTGAATTTAGCGATTTCGGGAATTCTAGCTCCCAATGTAGCTACTTTTAAAAATTTTAAGTCCAAACTTACTAGCTATTCCCCCCCCCACTCCAACTCCCCGTGGTCTCTGAACAAGGGGAGCGGGGGTTCAGGGGTCAGGGGAGCGGTACTGTTAAAGGCAGCGGTGAGGAGCAAATTGCTAAATCCAAGTCTGGCTTTGCTCGTGACATTACATCCTTTCGTGATGCCCAATCTCTCTGCAGACACCCTTCAAACCCCAAACCTGACCTGTAAATACATCCCTGATTTGCAGTTAGACTGCACTACCGCTGTCACCCCAAGATAATCATGCTGCACTACCCTGCCTTCACAGATGCCAGATTTGGGGAGCCATTCTCAATAATAAGCCTACTGTGTCATAACACGAAATCGCAAGTATATGGTTGTGCTGCTCCAAAAATGATGTGGACAAGAAGGTATACCGTCCTGTCCACGTCCAACTAATGTCGTTGTACACCTTCCTGTCCATCTAAACTCAAGTGGAAGGTGAATTTTCAACCACCAAATTAATCGACGATTCGGCCTTGAGGAATATACACTCGACATATTAGGCCCCCTTGTGTCACTTGTTTTTTGTTTTTGTGCCTGTTGCGTATACAGTGATGTGATTGGTCTACATCGTTTTGGAGCACCTTTCGGAGCAGCCAAAAAAGTGTTTTGGAGCAGCAAAAGTGGCCTTTGGAGTAGCCAAAACAATGTTTTGGAGC